TAATGATCATTTTTTTCTTAGATTTAATCTTTATCTGTCATTTGCAGAAACTGAAAAGTTTATAAATAAATTAGAATTTTTGTATGATTTAAATTTTTTTAGTACATATCAATTTTATCATTTGCCCTCATATGTGAATCAAATGACTTTTAGTAAAATAAAGATTAAAATTTTTTTATGCAGAAAAATTAATTTTTTACAAACTTTTTATATTATTCTATTATTATAATATTTGAATAACACAATAAATAGAAATAAACAATACTTATGAACAAAAAATATAATAATGTAATTTCAAGAAAATAAAATTTAGACAAAAACAAAAAGAACAACTATTTTTAATTTAGAGGTAAAACATTTATTTATGATTATGTAATTTTTGATACGACGATTATCTTACTCCATAGTTACTGCGTTCATCTAATCATTCACTTATTTATTTATTTTAAAAAATATTGCAATATAAAAAATGGAAAATAATAATACGTTATTATATATTTTAGATATTATACAGTAATTTAATGGAGAAAGTAAAAATATGTTCACTATAATTCGTTATGATAGAAAATCACAAAATTACATAGATATATTCAAAATATATTTTTTATTATATTATCTAGATATGTTAATACAAAATTAAAATCAAATTACAATAGATTATTATCTCTATGTCTATTATCATTAAAAATTTCTAATAAATTTGGCATTGAGCTGTTATCTGTTTTATTAGCTTAGAAAAATTAGCAAAATGTCATCTTAGTTGCTTCATCATTTTATCTTTCTTTCCCCTATGATAAACATAATTTATATTATATTATAAAAATTTATAGTATTTTTTTTACATCTTACAAAAATGCCATTATTAATATAACATACATAAACTTCTAAAATTTTTCTTAATACATTATTCTTTTAAATATGTGGACTTCTTTTTACAGTAATTCTAATTCTATATAATTTTTTTTTCATTACCACGTGTTTTTCCTTGACAGGCTTGAATGACAATAATTTTCATAACATCCTTTAATTCCACGCAACAAATAGTTTTTTCAATCGTTTCCAAAGAAATTTCTTTTTCGTCTGACGTTATTACACCTCCTGATATAAATATCTCACATTTAGTAATAATTAAGTATATTAAACATATTAAATATACAGTAAATATACGTAAATATACAGTATAGTACCCTCTCCTTCGATTTTTCTGTAATTTTCCTGTAATTTTGTAAATTTGTTTATCTTCATGCATAAAATATATTTTAAGAAGAAAAATCGTCGTTCAAATTCCATTTTTTTTTACGTCCGAAGTTTTGTAACATCAATAAGTTAGTAAATAATAATTTAATGATAATTTATGGTTGCCTAATCATACTCTCTACTTTAATTAATTAAAAACACAAAATTATTTTTTATGTAATTAAGGCTTCTGACTACTCAAGAACTCACGCATTGATGGTGGCAACACAGCATCGTAGTAAAAATTAGAAGCTTCATCCTATTCATCTTATCTATTTTTCCTCATCATTGTCTATCTTTATATTAAATAATATATTGACATCGAAATTTTTCATTGTATGTAACTTCATTATATACTTCATTATATGCTTAATCATGCACATGTGACTTGTCTCAAACTTATTAAATTCATAAAAATGATGACAGCTATAGTTATTTAAATTTTATATTTTTCATAAAATCATATTTTTCACTTCTTCCAACAGCTGTCAAACCGTTTTTCGGTCTGCATAAATTTCATTTCGTGTATTGTACGGTTATTTCGTGTATTTTATTGACTAGCATGAAGAGAAAGGATAGTAGCCATCCATTTTCACAAAGTGTCTTAAAACCACCTCAAGTGTCATTTTATTCAAATATCTTTTTATTTGCAAATTAATAAATGCAATAAATTTCATTGTGTCATTTCTCGCCTATATCATCACAATTCCAATATGGCCGCAAAATTTATATCTTTTTCATTCTTTTTATATGAATTGCGATTCAAATATATATTAAAAATAAATGTGAAATTTAAATGACAGTCCTTCTCAGAATATATTCCACGCATAAAAATACATAAATTTACACAATTATAGGTATAAAATCGAAGGAGAGAGCATTACACTGTATATCCTAATTAATTGTGGAAAAACAGGCATGTTAAATTTGCAATGCGCGCGTGCATATGCAATGTGTGTGTGTGTGTGTGTGTGTGCGCGCGCGCACACACACACACACACACACACACACACACACACATTGCATATAGTGATTTCATTATCATTACATGTACCCAAAGAGCACAGAGAATTAAAAAATAATTCGTTTTCGAATTTCTAAATTATGAAATGTATTCCTCTTCTATTTCTGATC